AGCTGCAAGGAGGGCCCTTCAGGCCGAGCGGTCAGCAGGAACATCCTGGCTGCGGGAGCTGCCGGCCAGCAGCAGAACTTGCTGCCGCCTGGAGTAGGTGGGGAGTCCTCTTCGCCGGAGGTCTTCAGACAGGCTGGACGGTCATTTGGCTGAAACACTGCAGGGAGTCCCGTGCTGAGCTGGGGGTCACGATAGATGACCTCCAAGGACCCTCCCAACCCTCGTGATTCTATTATTCCCCAAGTTTAAAGTCTCTTCTTCTTTCCTGTGGCTTTGTTGTTGTTCAGTTGTTAAGTCGTGTCCGACTCTTTGTGACCCCATGAACCATATTGCGCCAGGCCTTCCTGTCCTTCACTGCCTCCCTGAGTTTGCTCAGTTTCATGGTCATTCCTGTGGCTACTTACCTGCAAATCAACTACATGGGAAATAGGGAGAGTTTCTTCTAGTCAGTGTCTGGGATTCTGTTTTAGAAATGATTCCTCCAACTCCAGGTGTGCTGGACTACAGTTCCCAGACTCTCCAGCCAGGACATGTATTGCCAGCTGTCAAGGTGGTGACCAGCTGCCCAGGCAATTGCTTCTTTTAGTTTTTATAGATCCAGAGACAGTAAACCCCCACTAGCCAGTAAGGAGATTTCAAGCTTTATTGTTAACTCTAGCAAACAGATTTAAACAGGCATATAAAAATATAAGATACAAAAGTAGCAGGTAGAATTAAACAGAAATACCAAAGTGCAGTATAAAAGCCTAATGTAGCAAGCAAGACGAGAACAGCTCTTCCCCTCCTGCCGGGAGCCACCCTCAGGCGACAGCGGAGAGACCCCAAGATGGCTTATAGAATACAGCTCCGGCATTCCGAGGCCGGTGTCCATGCCCCTGGCTCAAGGGGCAATGCCAGGGTCTTTTATCCCTATTGGACCCTAAAGCCTCACGACCCGCTTCCCTGGCGCTGAGACTGCAAGACCGGGCCTTGGCTAGCTCTCGCCCTGTGGGCCACATGACCTGACTGAACCCTGGCGTCTCTGGGAAGGGACCCGTCACCTTGTGGTCCTTCCCCCTCCCCAGCAAGGGTGAGAAAACAAGCCAGCGAAACCTGATCATGGCTCAGGGTGAACTTTCCTTATGTGTCCAGGAGAAACCAACGTATGTCACCTCAACTCCTCGAAATAACAGCGGTCTTCCGCATTGCCCCTGCAGGACAGCACCCCTCTACAGAGAACTTCCTCTGCCTTTGATCATTTAGAAAAGGATAGAACGTCCCTTTTGTACAACCCAGCTTCAGTTTGTCAGGATTTTCCAACCTTAAATAAATACAGGCTCGCCTTGTCTCATTATTCATTCTCCCTTTCACCTTTCGGCCCACTACTGACAACAGGCAACTTCAATGGGAGGGATGGCCGGAGACCCCGAGAGGCCCTGTCTATTGTTGAAGAGCACCAACCCACAGCAAAAGCCGGTCTGAAATGAACCGCCTTTGCTCCGGCTCTAAAATGGATCCAATTCTGGATCTGCTGCATCATGATTAGAATCTGTTTCCAGAGCTCGAGATCCACCATTAAACAAACCGGTTTAATGTTACCGACTCTGAACGCAGACTCTTGATTCCATTATACGGCCTGGTTTCTAATGCCACCCTGTGGCCAGGAAAGACTGTTGTGTTGTTTTCTAAACACACGCACATGCACACACGCCGGGCACCTTTAAACAAGGGAACGTTATGCTTGCTTTATGTCAAAAAGCAAACAAGACAATTCCATCTTCAAATATAAGCTTTAGGCTGCAAGCTTTTACAAAGCTTTTGGCTCTTCTCCAGGAGAGGATTAAAAAAAAACAGTACTCTTATTGAAAAGCTGGAACTACGGAACACCGATTGGCCCTATCCTGGCTGCAAGATCCTGGTTTCTGAATTTAATTTTGAATGTTTGCAGGCACATTCAAAAAACATTATGGTTCTGTCTCCTCCTCTTGGAACAACGCTAGTTTAATGTGAAGTGGGGGAACAAGCAGCCTTCAGGGGTGAACACATTTCCAGATGCTGTTCCATAAATGGACAGATCACCAAAGGTATCCCCAAATCTGCCTTGTCCGTTTCTGCAGAGATAGATGGGCAACTGGAACATTCTGCGCGTAGGTTTCCATGACCACGATTGCTTTCCCAGCTAGAATTATTTAAAAAAAGGGCCATAGTTTTAATTTCCAGAGTTTTAAGGTTTGGCTGCTGCCCAGACATCTGTCAAAGTCCCAACTTTATTTTAAAGATGTCCATAGTCTGGATTCTTGTGGGAACAGGTTTAAGCTGGCTGGTGCTAGCATTTCACTGCTAATGAGTTATGTGTGTCCTAAAGACCTATCAGAAGAGTATTGATAGTTATTTTCAGGAGATCCGGAAGGAAGGAAGGAAGGAAGGAAGGAAGGAAGGAAGGAAGGAAGGAAGGAAGGGTCACCAGGAGTGGAACCATGTCTGGAGGGATTAAAATGTTTTCATTTTTACGGCATTTGTGCTTGGTTCCATGGGCTGGACCCTGCCAGCCTGATGTCTGCCCCCTCCTGCCAGAGCTGGGAGTATCTCTGCTTGTTCCAGGCTGTCTTTGTGCTAAATCCCGGCCAGAAACAGGTCCAGACAATCTTATATCTTATGCCCCTCTTTTCATTCAGGAGACCGCTCCAAGGGTGTTGCAGATGATTTGAAGTGGGCTCCGTGCATTTGAGGCTGGGTTTGGGTGGCGGGCCAAGGGCTGAGGAGCCCTTAGTGCTCTGTCGGCCATTTCAGTCCCACCCGTGACGAGACCCCCATCAAACCTTTGCAGTTTTGGCAGGGATGCCCAGCTGTCCAGGCAGGCTACGCGGTCTTCTCTTTTGCCGGGATATCCCCGGGGGGTGCCCAGAATCCATGGCAACCCTGAGGGGAGCACCCACGACGGGATGGGGAAGGGTCCGTTTTCTCTCTGCCCCACTGCTGTTGCTTCCCTGTGTCATCTGGCTTCTGCACGTGCCTTTCCCATTCCCTGCTGTTTCTGTCCACAAAAAAAACATCCCACAGAAAGCCGGGTCTGATCCGAGCTTCTCCCCATCCGGCCTTTTTTTCCCTAGCAAAGCTGTGTCGGTTTCAGGGCGGCTTTCTCCCTCCTCCCGTGGCGCTGGTGGGGCTGGTCGGTTTCGCTGGCAAGAAGAGAGCAGGGTTTGGGGCAGGCTGACGCGCCCTGGGTCCGCAGGGTGTGGTCAAAAAGGTCAAGATGGCAGCCACGGCAGCGCAGTCGACGCTCTGCCTGTTTTCCACATGCGACGCAGGGATTGAGTTGCGCCTTTGTGGCAGCCACCGTGACTTTTTTGACCACACCCTGCGGATGCCCGTGCCCGCATCCAGGCACTCCAAGGAGCAGAAGGAGCGGGCACAGCCACGCTTCAAGGCAGAAAGCAAGCAGACGCGGACCCAGCAGCAGTCAGCCTCACCCACTGCCACAGCAGGCCCCAAAATCCATGGGTGGCTTTTGGCTGCAGAAGCCGATCGTCTGCTCAGTTTGTACAGCTTCATTTTTCATGGATTTTTTTTTTATTTTTTGTTTTTCACCCTGGATAAAAATTCGGGTTCCTTTCCAGAGCAAGACGTAGAGCGCGTGCAGCGCCTTTTGTCTTCCTCCCTCCTCCCCACCCCACGTTTGAAAATGCTGCGTTTCCTCCAGGTGCAAACGGTGCAGCACGTCTACCCGGCTGAAGTCCAGTACATCGAGGGAGGA